GTAGGGAAACATATGGGGAACATATATTTCTAGCGACAACGCTACTAATGCTCGAATACGACAGGATTTATTAAAGACGCTTTCAACGACATAATTAAACATCCTCGTGAACGGGCTTATTATTCTTAATCATTTTGCGGAAAATTCCTCTTTTCCTCAAGCGAATTTCCACTGAATTTCGCAGACAAGCGTCTAAAGCGAGTAATGATCTTAGTCCTTTGATTGACTATAATCGTTTCACGCGACATGGCAGTAAATAGAGACGACCGGTACGGCCAGCTGACAGCGTGACGCAGGAGATCGCGCGTCGTGTTTTCCTGCGTGTTTCCCCGACGACTATATTTATCGCTGCGACGTAATAAGTTAATAACCCCTACGCGTGCCCTCGGTATCGCTCTCGAATACCAAAAGCGGCATTAACGAGCTAAGTGCCAGCGCAATTTAATTTTAATCTGATGACGAAGTCTAACTAATAATTGAATAATAAAACGTTTTATAAGAGAATAATTATTACGGGTACTGTGCTACCGTTTCAAGAATATACTTGAAATGTTGCAAACTCGTTATATTTTATTGATGTATTAAATAAATTTTGTGGACTATACTTTGAAATTTTTATTAAACATTGAAATTATTATTTAATGCAGTGATCAAAAGTAATATTAATGAATTAAATTCCAGAGAAGTATTTAGTTTTGATCTGCAAGAGTAGGAAAAGTCACAAAAAATTTTTAATGTGGAAATTTTCAAATTATTTGAGGTGTTGTAAACGTTTGTTATACTTCACTAATGTATATCTAATTTATATATGTATATATTAATTTAAAATCTCATGTTAAAAAATTTTTGACGATTTTACTGCCGAAACGTTTATTATTTTAATAATAGAATCTATTGACAAGATAGTAGTCCGTGATCGTCTTGTTCATTCATTGCGTTTCATTCAGTAAATGCTGTCCATGTCCCTCCGGTTTCTATTATATTAGCGACGATGTACTTTTAATCGCATTTGCATCTTCAGGAAAATCCGAGAGAATATATATAATACTATTAAAAGTTATTTTACTGAGTCTAACATAACTTTTTAAATTGAGGATAGATAGAGTGTCGATTAACAAATTAAGAACGTAACTAGAAATGCTATTCTTATAATGCCCTTTGTATTAAATTAATTCCTTTTTCTTCTATGTTAATACAATCTAAATCTTATGGATACTTTTTATACTTTACATTTCTAATGCATTTTTGATACGAGATTCACATAAGAAAGATCTTTTTTTAAATCTTTACTTTTATTTATTTCGATTATATACGCGAAATAATTTCCAGCACGCGAAAGTTTGGGAAAACTATCTCGCGTATGCAATTGCTACTATGACGCAATTGAACTATTATACACATGCAATTAGAGCAAGATGCAGAAACTATTTCATAACTTATGTAGCGCTGAATTTCTCTTATTCATTTTCCGCTAGCGTGCAGGATAGCTCGGATTACTTCGACTCCGAAACACGCGCGGCTTCTAAAAGGAACAATTTGCGGGGACGACATTTCTCGCGAAGCTGCGTAATAAATCTCTCATGCAAATTGTTTCAAATATTTTAATCTTTTAAAGGCAGAAACATGTATACACGACGATTGTGCTTTCCTCCGCTTATATCAATCAAATCGAATTTTTTAGAAACGCGCAAATCAAAAGAGCTAATAAAAAATGTAATATTATAAAATTTATATTGTATATGTGTGCATCTTTTAAAAGTTATATTGTAAAGAAGCGACATGCTTTAGGCACAACTTTCACGGAAGCATTATTTATTATACGCTTGGTACCGCGTCTCTCAATTTATCACAATTTATCACAAGAAATTGAAGAGAAGTTAGAGAAAAGGAAAGAAGGGAAAAAAGGACAAAGAGACGGTCTCTTATAAAAGAATTTAAATTAGTGCAACTGGGATAAATTTCTTTCTTCGTGCGCCTCGAGCAGCCGTTCGATCTCGGTCGCAAAAAGTTTCGATCGATCGATGTGATGTGTAACAATCTCCGTGTATAATTATCGTATTACGTCGCACCGATACTCGTGAGGTTTAATCCGTCACCGTCGCGTCCGATGATGGATTTCCGTCGTAATGACGTGGAACAACTCCAACATTGCCTGTCCGTATATGGCGTATGTTCTTGAGAAAGTTAGAATCGCTTCGTCGCGATTAAATTTGATTTCTTTCGTAATTTCTGTCAAGTTGAACGCGATTAAATACACACACGCGAAGTAATAGAATATCGGCAGCGTCTATAAATGCAGTGTGCAATTAAACAGCGGTTCTATATGCACAATTGATCGAACTTTGGATGCATATATATGCATCAAAGCAATGCTTTTTGTCGAATGCGATTTGCGCAGAGTGTAGGTAAAAATACAAGACTCGTATATATATAAAATTCAATAAAACTTTCTGCCTGATGTGTATTAATTTTTAAATTGTTTATAATTTTTTTAAAAAAAGAAAAATATATACTTTTTTTATATATGTAAATCTATTAATTACAATTATAAAAAATAACTATGTGTTAGCTAATAACTATAATTAATAATTGTAGTATATTATGAGAGAGAACGGCTCTTTGCTCGCTTAATTAACCGAAAACTAGAATTAACAATTTATTTATCCCTATCTGAATTTCGGTCGCGTTCCCATAACTAAATCAATTAATAATTAAGTAGCAAAGAGAGATTACGCTCGATCGGACGGAAAAAGCTAACAATACATTTTGTCGAACTATAATCTAGATATTGTTGATAACGCATTAATTGTAATTATAAATTAAGTAATGATTTTTGCTTATAACTAATGATTATCGATAGTCGTAATCAGACAAGTCGTTTATCAAAATGTACAAGTCTCGTTTATCGAAATGTCTATTGTACTTGATCGTGTTTTGCCTCCCGTTCATAAAAGAGGATGGATAATAAATTAGAACTCAAAAGTACTTAATACCAGACGAGCCATCATTTCGTTGGGGGCGGATGTAGAAGGGCGAGAAAACCACGTCGTCTCTCTCTTTCCTCTCTACATCTTCTCGCCAAGATATATATTGTTCTTGCCTACGATATACCGTTCGTTTCTTTAGGATTCCCCGACTTTATTTTATCATCTGGTAGCTAGGAGGGTGGTGGGAGGGAACGGTGGTACAAAAATACTCGCAAAACACCGACTAAGACGGTTCTCTTTCTCTCTCCCTCTGTCTTTCTCTCTCTCGCACAATTGGACCATTATGACTTTCGCAACCGCACACCGGATGTTACGTAAGTCCCTGCTCGAGATTAATTTCTTCATATTCGCACATTGTCCCGGTAATTTTTCCCTACCATTACGGTGTGCATTAACTATATTATATTTGCCTATTAATTAAATTTAATTTGGTGTCTCGTGATTTAACTTTTCGATGAATTATTCATATATGCACCATCGCGCGTATTCTTCAACCTGGAAAAGACTCTAGGAAAATACGCGAGGTGGGTTGATGATTTTTTTTGCATACTTTGCCCGCTTTTAATAACTTTCATCGATCGGATGAAAATAATTTTACAAAATGTCTATTGTACATACCAATTTTGATTTCAAGAAAAAGCTTTTTCCCGTTCTGTCTAAAAGAAAAATCCAGCTTTTAAACGCATACAAATTTCTTTAAACAAACAAATTTCTTTAAATTTGTACGATAATTTGCAAGCTAACTTATTTTCGTGAGTGGATTTTGCAAGATCTTCGGTTCTCGCTTGAAGCAGCACTCCTTTTGTAAATTTAAATGAAACTCGAAGTTTTGCTTGGCGCTCGGGCGAGGATTATAATTGCTCTCATTTGCGTTTCACTTCTATTTACATTCTCGAACGTGCTCTGGCAAAACTTTCGTGGTTCTTATTTGTCGCTCTGTAAGAAGGAACGAGAGATTCTCTCTCGATCGACTTTCTCGCTGCTATAATTTTACAACGGATTGTAAAAACACCAAATGTATGCTGCACGTACATAAATATATAACACACACACGCACAAACACATACATCGGCGCTTTCGAATAAACTTTTTTCATATCGCGTTTATATATAAGTTGATGGAAATGAACAGCGA